AATTATTATTCAGAAAAATACTAAAATTTCCATAAATTTATATTTAGAAGCAGAAAGAGAGAGAGAAAGAGAGAGAGAGAGAGAGACTGTTTTATTTTTGAAGAAATTGCAAATCAATATTCTGAAATTCAATCATTTTTGTATAATTTATTTAACAAAAATGAATAAATGAGATAAAATATTTTTAATTTGAAAATCGAGATATATATTTTTAAAAAATCGCTGTTACATTCAAGATTAAAGAAAGAATTCATTAGAGAGATGAAAAAAATTCCTAAAAACTTTGGGATTTAAAAAATTTATAATTCTTCAAGATTCAACGCTTTTGGAGAAAAGATATCAAGCGAATATTTTTTTTTTAAAAAACGGCATTAGGAAATAATATGGATGTAAAGAAATTATGCAATATGTATTATAATAAAATTTAGATAATTAGAATTTCTCGGAAGCGCGATCTGCATATATCAGCTCGCTCGTCATTCATGCGCATCAAGATGGCACGTCCGACATTTATTCAGACTGAACTGTTTTTCATCCTCTCTTAGACTCGAGTTGGTATCTATCTCGCATCCATTATCATTCCCGTCTAGGCCCGCTAATTAATCACAGAAAGGAAATAAGATTTACCAACAGTCGTAGTGGAAAAATAATTATCTCAGCTACATTATCTCACACGCCAGCTTTATCAAACCGCCCTTATCATATTATCTATGCACGTAACATCCTTGCGTAAGCGCTGTTTATCGGCACAACGTTCTTCTCTTTTAGTCCCTTTTAAAACATGTCTTATATTCCCAATTACAAAAAGATAAAATCAGTAAAATATAGAATTATATGTATTATAAAAGACCTTAACCATCATGTAATTCTTGATTTTTAACAATAATAAGTTAAACTAGATCGTTTATACAAATAAATAAATCTTAAGTAAAAACAGTGCCAATAATATACGGTTGAGTCTAATATTTATCAACTAAATCTTAGTATTTAATGATATTTCTATATCATAAATGTATATATTTAAATACATTTTTATATTTAAATATATGCATTTATATGTCTATATTTAAATATATTTTTCAGTACTTCAAATTATAATAAGTTCTTTTCAGTTCTTTTAAGATATTTGTTAGAATCATTATTATTAATTGACGATCAATATTCAATTTATAATATTACTATTTCTAGCTTTAATTTAGGATTATATTTTCAACATCGATTGTGTTTAGCGTGCATTTGATGTAAAAAATATATTTAAATATTCATATAGAAATATTATCATTAAGATACTAGATCTTTAAATCTAACTTCGAAGCGCCGTATATTGCCGTTTAATTAATTAATTGATTCTTGATTGATTTTTATTTTATTTCTCTATAAAAACATCTTTCGCAAAGTGAAATACAATATAAACTATTAACAAACAGCGAAATTGACATTATATGTTTATTGATAATTCGCAGGAGTAGCAATATATTATCACTCTGTTTTATTAGTCGCAAATGAAGCGGGCTACAAATCAGGATCATCGAGAGATAACGCGTATAAGTACGATATATAAATACGGAATACAAATTACTGTTAACTCCATGGTCACTTTTTGTTCGTTCGTTTATGTGCAAGAGCCGAACAATTCGTTGTCGGTTCTGCGCTTCGAAGTTAGTATGGATTGGCTTCACGTCGCCAATAACGAACTGCAGCATTGCCAGTTTCGTGTTTCGCATTTTACCTCGTCGTCCTGTCTCATCGTCGGCTTGTCGACGTCCCTTTCTCTAGATCTTGTTTGCTTTAAACTTGCAAGCGTCGATAATCGAGTTGCAAGCTCGTTCATTGTTAACGTATTATTCTTCGCACGTTGATGAAACGGAAACAAACGGACGACGATGGAACGACACTCGGATGTCATAGTTCGATTAATACACGTTAAATGGATGACTATCAACGGAAGCAGAGAGACGCATAGAGAAATGCAGCTATCCATACGTAAAAGTGTAATTGATAATATTTGTTAATGAAGAAAAAAAGAGAGATCAATGATTCTTTCTCTCTATAGAAATCAAAATATAAAATTAATACATTTTCATAGTTACAAAATATTTCATGGTATTTTCACAACTCATATAAATTTTTGGCAACGAATGTTTATTAACATTGAACGATCAAAGCAAAATTATTGCATAAAACATTATTCCGAAGATCGTAAAATTGATTATTAAACTTTCATAGTTTCACTTACCCATAAATTGAAAGTGACGTTGCTGGCATTTGTATTTGATTGCGATCTTAATCAAGTTATTAATATATGATTATAAATCGATCGAAACAATGGGCTGTGCTCTGATTATTTCATGATCGAAGAATGAATTTTCGGACGGAACTTGAATACAACATTACTAACGGTTTATCGCCGCTTAACGGCCGTGTGCATAATAAGCGGAAGTGAATCGTAGTGTTGTATCGTGCGTATTACGTGGAACATATAACACGTAGATTTTATATAATAAAATCGGCTACTTCACGAGTACTATAACATCAGTATATCGCCTACGATATGCGTAAGTCATAAAATAATGGACGGTGAACACGCGTGATTAATTTCTCCCACGGCGACAGAAATCGTCTAAAGCGGAAATGCATTTAGGAGCAATTTATCGCCGAATATATACGTGACACGTACTTACATAAACGTGACAAACGTGCTATTTGCATTCCACCCGTTTTCGTTCCCGTAAATTCTGTCGGCGCCTGTGATAATTTATAAATTCGCGGAAATAACTTATTTTAACTGACAGCGCGCTCGTCAAATTGTAACAGCGATATAATTAAATTTATCGCGACATTTATTAATTTGTAAATGCGGATTGTAAATAGTACCGTAATAATACAGTTTCTATAAATATTGAAAAATTCAGTCAAGCTTCGTTTAATGTAAAAGTATCATTTATGTTTCTCAAAAAGAAGTTTGATAATTTTCTTCCAAATTGATTTATAATATATATCTAAAGAACTCCATATTAATTACATAAAAAACTGAGTCTTGGAATTTTCACATGTTATAGCTTGCAATGTGATGAACAAAATGTATTATACAAAGCTTAAATAAATAGACAGCTTTTCAGTTACAGTGTAACAAAAATGTGAAACTTTGTACTCACAGTGCATCACACTATAAAAAAGTTATTCATTATTTGAACTATGTTTATATGACATTGTTTCTTTACTACATTATACAACATATGTCGAAATTAATTCGTTACAGGACTTCCATATAACTAGTACGGGGTCTTTTATAAAAATGTTTCTCTTGCTTCATCTATTATAATTAAAAAAAAAAACTAAAAATATTAATTTAATTAATGCTAATTACTTAATTTATATTATTTTAATTCGCTTACGGCAACAAATTATTCAAAATCTCTATTCACAGGTGAAAGATATACACTGGCCACACACATTGCAAATTCAGTGAAAATAAATTGTCTTAATTATTCTAACTCATGTATATGTTTGATTCCGAACTTCTAGAGACATAATTTTTTTATTACATCTTGATTAAATAAAATTATCTTTTAATGTCTGGAAAGAAGAAAGGCAGATTGCAATTGCATTAATAATTGTGTATCGTAGGCACGCGGTGTCGAAAATGTCAAAATAGTTTCTTATTCATTGCGAACAGCGAAATTAACGTTGCTCCGCTTATGGCCAACAAAGTTGGCCAAGATACGATCGATGAACGTCACCAAGCGAAACGATACGCTCGGCCGGAGAACGCGAGCGCGACGCTGCTGCTCGATCTTGAGATGCAAAGCTGCAACACGTTGAGCGAACCCGAAAGTTCGCTCGCTGGAAACGGACGATAAAGCGGCGTGGGAGATCGTTACAGCGAGCGGCAGCGACGGGCCTGATAATACTGCCCTCTCAAGTAAATGATCGAACCAACGCGATTGTTTCAGGCATGCTATGTGTCAGAGCATCGGAAACGGAGGTCCGTGTAGAAGATGACGGGGTTAAGTAGATAAAGGGAGCAGGCCTGGCCGCCATCAACGACGGACGATTCCTCGGCTCTTTTCTTTCTCACCGCAGCGCACAATGCTCTGCCACCGCGCTCTTGTCATTCTCATCGCTGTCAACGTGCCAATCGGTAAGTGATTTCGATTCTGTGACTTTAGACCTCTCCCTTCCCCAATTCTTTCGAAAATGATTTGAAAAAATTTTTGAAAAAATTAATATGATATTCAGAATTTCTTTTGAAAATATATGATATTCCACTCTTATTTTGAATTATAAATTTATACTGCTGCTTTGCATATGAAATTACAACAAAATTAGTGAAAGATATTCAATGTATATTATAGATATTTTATAAATGTTACAATACATCTTTTGAATTTAAGAATTTTATCTTTTAAATTTATAATCGTAAATAACATTTTCAAAGAATTTGAAAAAATAAAACGTGTCAAAACGTATTTTTATTCTTCACATTTTAAATCTCCATATTTCAAAAATACACAATTAAAAAATTTAAGTTTTTCAGAAAAGAGGTAAATCTATTTTTCAATTCAACAGAAAATTATTGACTAATGAATTAATATTGGTAAAAATACACGCTTAGAAATATAATTCTTGGGAACATTTTTGTTATTTTTACAGCCTTTAAAAAATCATCCTTTTTGAGTTGATAATTTTAATATCCTATAAAGTTACAAAAAGTTTGGAATATTTTATCAAAAGTAAAAGACATAACTTGAAATATCATCAACAGTTTACTTTAATCAATTAAAATGATTCAATTCAACATAAAACAATCTCTTCCTTAAATTTCGATCACCAAAACTGTTTTGATTCTAAACGTTCTGTGTAGGAGATCCTTTTTTTCTTATAAAAACAACTCAAAATGTATTACTCTTGAAAAAGGTATTATGATCTTTTTTTGAAAACCTTAAGAATACGATACATATGCTATTTGATCAACAAATTGTTTTGAAGTTAAGTTAATGATTGGTAATATAAGCTTCATCTAATCGTGATAATAACTTGAAAATCATATTCTTTTAGTTATGTTATTTTTAAAGGAAATGAAATTATTTACCCGCAACGAAATATATAGAAATAGCTTTTAACAAGAAATATCTCTTCGTTCGTCAATTGAATTAATCGAGTATTCGATGCAACTAAGTAAATTGAAGCATGATTTGAGCAGCAAGCTTCTGTTACATATATCATTCCCGGTCCATTACATCGGATACGCTTATTGCGATTGACGCAGAAGTCGATACATTGCGAAAGATGTCCAATACGAAATCTGTTGTACCCGACAACGAGCAATAACGCAGATGCAACGGGGGCACGATGCCAACGATGTTCTATATACGCAGTCCACAAAATAAATAAAGTATAGTTCGAGTACCACTTCACTGCGGAAGCGCGACGCCATCCACCGTCGAGCTGTCAGATTCTTGCCCGAATGTTTATCCGATAGCAGTAAATAGAGAGGAAGCGATTGCGTTTTTGCAAATATTTCATCCTGCTACGTTACGATTTATTACACACGAGACTATTCTACTTCGATACTATTCTACATACGATACGTAAATATATATTGTCAAGTTTATCAAATTTCTTGATAACTCTTTTTTATAACATAAACAAATAAGATTATTAGATAATTAATAAAAATAATATAATACTCTTTGTGTGTAAAATGAAACAAGTTTTTTGGGGAAGAAATTTTACATTTACCTCATCAGCACACAATTTTTAAAATGTTTTTTTAAATATTTATTTAATATAAAGATCGAATAAAAAAATATTGTATGTTGATTAAATTGTTTGTGTATTAAAAGATTATTAAATTTTCTCGAGTTAATTTGAAAATAGTTTCCAAGATTTTCAAAATTAATTTTTTACTTATTTTTATATGCTCATATTTTTATTATAATTAAGCTTGTGCCTGATTCGATTCTGAGTAAAGATATTTTAAAACAACTACCTGTTCTCTTTAAGAATCGTGATAAAAGCTTAATAGCTTGTGCACCACCGAGTAATTGCTCTTTCCTTTTTCGTGATTGATGTACCGATTAGCTGCTCGAACAATCGACTCGACGCAATAAATTCGATTTAACCTCAGCCATACTCGATCTTGACGTATAATTCTGCCAATAGGTATCGTATACTAGACTGTGCATCGATTATCCAACTATTGAGCAATTGAAACATGATTAAGATACAAGATGCAACTTACATAAAATAATTCAAAATAAATCATAATTATGTAAACAAATTATCTGTTGAATATTCATTATACAAATAAATGTGGCATATTCTTAAATATCAAAAGATTGAGATTTATATTTGTTACACAACAGTGTACGCAATTCATTTAATTCATTTAAACTTTACTATTATATAGTATATAATAATATACATTCATAATATATAATAATTAATAATAAAATTAATATTTAAATTCCTTTCTGTTAATTCAATTCTTCCGTAAAGTATTTTCTGATAAAACAAAAATATTTTTTTAATCTATTATATAATATCAATTAAATTATAATATAAATAAAAAAAAACAGCCACTGCCGAATTTCACTTATTTATTACTGATCCTAAATGCGTGAAATAACTGAAAATGATCTGTAAATCGCTTGAAAGAGCATATTCAAGTAAAATGTGCACGAGTTGCACGAAATGTGAGTGGGTAATTGAAGTCCGAGTTTATTCGCAATTAACATGAGCTAGTCGAGAAATAATAAACGAACGTTCATTGCGAAGTCCGAAGCGAGCGATGACAACATCTGGTGCGGATACCATGATACTAAATATACTACGTATACCATACAAACGCGTGTGCACGGTATATCTCGAATGTTGCCGGCACCCAAAGTGCGTCAGAAACGCCGCGAGCCTGGTCGCTGTCACTGATGTTTATTGGCACAGAGAGTATCTACCACACATACTGAAATTAATGATAGTTTGTTTAGATTATAGTCCATGGACATAGTTGGCCTCCGGCAATCTTCCCATGTCACTTAACTCTATATTAAACTTTTGAGATACAAGGATATGCAGAATAATTAAATAATTGAAAATATAGAATTTTCGTGTAAAGATAATTCGAGCACCGCATGCTAAAAGTTTGCGTGTTATATTTTAGAAATAATTTATAGATTAGAATATATAAGTAGTTGAAATGAAAACATATACTCTAAATGTTTCGCAGTGTTCGCTGAGATACGATAAATTACGAAGAAAGTATAGAAATACTCTATAAAGACAATTTATAGAGTATTTTCTTCGTAATATCGTAATATCAATAATATCGATATCGCCTCGATATTAACGATTTTTCTGCAATAACATAAAGAAAAAAATTAGAAGATTCGTGTCGATGCGGAGAGATAGAATCGCGCAATTTGCGATCGACGGGATACACGTCCTATAATCCGTCCTGTGCAACGCCGACGACGTCCGATGCAGATGCAATGGAGGATCGGTGCCAAATACGTTATACGGGCCACGGGAAATGGGCACGTAGATCGCAGATATGGCGCGTCCTCCAGTACTGCGGCATGGATCGCTCCAGTCTGGTCAACTTCTGGCCCTGATGTTTATTCGGCGCGAGTGGAAGCGCCGACGACTGCGCTTGTCGTTCGAATTAATTTACCGCTTGCGGGCCTCCGGTCTCTTCAGATATAGATAGATAGAGAGAGAGAGAGAGAGAGAGAGAGAGAGAGAGAGAGAGAGAGAGAGAGAGAAAAAAAGAGAGAGAGAGAGAGAGAGAGAGAGAAATGAGAGATAGCAAGAGAGACAGGTAGAGCCTCGACGGTATCGTTCAATCGTTAGAAACGAGTATATATAAGATGTATATTCGTAGCGCACTTTTTTCAATCAAATAAAGAAGTTTTGTTTAAATTAAAAATTTGTAGACACGCGTCTATTTCTAGTCTATCTATTTTAAACGGCGCGACTTACATCTTCAGACAAATTAATACATAGGAACATTTGTATTATTTCTATTTAAATTAATTTCGTATGAATAATTTCATTTCTACACAAAAAAGGTTCTATTTTATATATTTTTTTAGAACAGATCTTTAGTATCTATTCAAGCTCACTCTTTGCAGATATCGTCTTTCTCTCTTTGGACAGAGGATGAAAAATTGAAGCGCATTGTCGAAAATTACTATCAAATTGACCGTACATTGTCGTAAAATGATATCTTTGTCAACCGCAAGGAATATCATCTCACGTCCATGCTATAAAGAAACCAGAGTGCCTTATCCACCAGTAGTAAGACGCTACAAATCGAGCGTTTCCAAATGCATCACGTGCATCAAAATGCACCACCCAACGTGTCTGGGACCGACGCAAGATTGGCAGGGTGGACTCCGGTGAAGATTCGACTCAAGTCAAATCGAGATGAATCGAGTGAACGGCTACTAGCCGAATGAAAAAAAGAAAAAAGAAAAAAAAGGAGCAAACGATGGAGGTTTTATTCGTCGGTGACCGGATAAGATTGTCTACTGCGGATCAACGGTGAGATTCACCGATTGTTCCACAAGGCACTGCCAGCATCGCGTTTCCATCCCCTGGCGTTCCTTATCGGGCAAACAACGACCTTTCCGGCCAAATTGGTCTGACTCGGAACCGAGTAAAACGTGATTAATCGCTCGCCTCCTTTCGCGAGAATGTATCTACCTCGCCAACTCTCCAGTGGTTATATAGCGATAAACGGATAACCGCGGTCTAGACTCAATTGAGTTTCGATATAGGATAGATGCGCCGCGCGCATCGCTTTCGATCTTGGAGGAAAAAAAAGTAATGCGAAAGACAGAAACAGAAGGAGACAGCGTGGGAGAAAGATACGTTCGTTAGGTGTTAGTTCGTTAAACCGATTTCTTTTTCCATTACTTCTCTCTCGTTTTCATTATAACCTCCAAACTTGCTTGTATTTCTGACTGTAATAAGTTAATCACATAGAACTAATAATTCTTTCAATCAACTCGTTGATTAACAATGTAATTAAAAAATAATTTTTATCTGTGTTTGGTTACTAAAATACCTTTATTTTTAAATTTTTTATTTTTTTCTATTTATGCAAACATTTTTTTACTATATTTTGAACGAAATGTT